TAGTTTAAATAAGAGGATTTATTAATTTTTTAAATTATGAACAAAGAGAACACAGACTTCCTTTTGCTCTTTTCAATGAAAAAATTATTTTCTCAAAGTCATTCAGTAACAAAGAGAACACAGGCTTTACTTGACAAATTTTAAAAATTTCACTTCATACCGTTATCAATTCTTCTTTTGGCCGTACTTTCAGCTCCCATACCGCAAAATTAAGTCAAACTCTACAAAACTGAAAAATACCTACATCAATTGAAGGTTTATTTGGGCCGTGCTTAATTGGTCAATTAATGAGATTCGGGAAGACCTTGGAAGCAGATGCGATGTGGAAATTCTGCGTAGGGGATGTGTATAATAAGTTTAATAATGGCCTCATTAATATATTCGACATTGTTGAGCATAAGTGTATCTTTTTTTCACAAGTCTAACTATACTGTAATTCCCTTTTTTTTTTTTTCTTTTTTGAAGGAAAGGTAGTTTCATTTATATATACCAGCAATCGTCCAGCTACGATTCATTTATGGTCAAAAGAATATGCGATCAAATAATACAATTTATTCATCATGCAATAATAAAAATCCTGTAATTACCTAAGCTAATAATAATCCTGTGACACATACTAATCCCTTGTTTTTATTTATTTATATTCATCACGCAACCTGGCGTTCTCCCACAATACGGAACTAGATGCTTGGCCCAGGCAGATGCCCGGGCGCCCCCTCTACTTTAATTTTGTGTTAATAGATAAATGAATTTTTGATTTGGAAAAAATAAAATAGCTACACATTTATTTTTTCCCTTTTTTAGCCAAAAATAAAAATAAAAATAAAAAAATCATCTGCAAAAGGAGAAAAAATATTGAAAAGTACACCGATGCAGAAATCATACAAAAGAATGTGGAGTAATAAAAGGGATAAGTTTATGGACAAATTTAAATCTTATCTTAATTTGATTGATAAATGATAAGTGTTAGGAGTTAAAATTGTGTAGCTATTTTTGTAAATTAGCTTTTGTTTTTCCGGATAAGAAGTTTTTTTTTTGTTTTAAAAAAGGATGACACGTGGCAGAATGGTTAAAGCAATATGGTGCATTTGGAGCCAAAATTTTTTAATAAGAAATTGCCACATCAATATCTTGTATTCTGCTTTAATAGGGTAAAAGGGATAGGGTTTTTTTTTAATCGAATTACTGAAATTATTTATTTCTCAGAATAACAAAGTTGCAATGAAAAGTTGTAAAATGAGGTATAAATATCTGATCTGACTAGATTTTAGTTAATACTTCTTGATTGAAGATTTGGTTGAAAGTTGAAACATATCTTCCATGAATTGTTATTGGTAAAATGTCAACTATGCCTAGTTTTCGTTATAGTCATAACTAGATGTTACCCGCACGATGTGCGGGATAGATAAATTATGTACTAAGATAAAAATGATGTGTATCAAAGAAATATTTTTTATTTTTGTAGAATTAAAATAATTGAAAGAGATTATCATATATTAGTTTCAGGAAACTGACACTTTTGAAGGACTCATTTTATCCACTGATACTATAAACGACCATTCTGTTTCTAAATGGGTTGTAGTAAATCAAATATATTGTACTCTTCCTTCATCTTCCACGTCTAAGCATATGTAGTCGATAATGCATTACTTGCCCCACCTTAAAAACAATTTAAATTTTGTTATTTATGCTGACTAAACTTTACAACAATGTAAATTTACAACAGTGTAAATTTTGTTTCACATTATGTACTGACTAAACTTCTCCCAATAAATAGAAAATTTAATGTATAAAACTTACAAAAATTATATTTATTTATTATTGTTCAATTGGTATAATAATTCCTTTATAGTCTCAAATTTTGCATTATATTTCCTGTAAAGCGATACAACATTTACATTGTTGTACCCAAATTAATGTAAAACAATCATTTTACAACTATATCGTAAAAATTAAAAAAAAAAAGAAAACTGAGTTGGAACTTCTCCAAATTGTTTTTGGTGATCCACCATAGTGTAGTTGGACATAACATAATCATTATCAAACACATTAGTCCAATATGATTAACTTGCCCCATCCAAGAAATCTGAAAATTACTAAAACTCGTTAGTCTTTAGATTACATAAGTACACAAAATTGAGAGAGTATACGAAGAAAAAGATTACCTAGATGATCCCCAATGTAGATTGTTAATATCGAACCAAAATATGAACTTTTTAGGGTTCAGGATTTACCGAAAAACCTTTTAGAACTTTTTAATAAACTGCTAATAGTATGCATTTCAAACTCTCATCTAAGTTGCATAAACTTCTTCAAAAGTTTAGTCCCTTTCTCGTATACAGATCTCGTTTCTTCTCCACTACAAATAATAAATTCAACAATAAAATCTCATAACCAAATTATCAATAAAGTATAATCAAGTTAAACAACTGCATCACGAAATATAGAACAAACATGAAAAAGTTTATCAAAATCAAACAGTTAGTGAACCATAAAACGAATTGACATTCATCATTGATAGAAACTCCATTCCTGGAATTAATTATCTAATCTTGATGAAAAATGGGCATAAACAATTGTTTTGCTGCAAAAAAATAAAATAAAATAAAATAAAATAAAAAAATCAATTAGTCAATGAGGGGGAAAAGAGGAGGAGGTGAATGTACAATACCTGTTAAATTTATATAGTCCAGTCAAAGCTATTAAGTTTTCTAACCGAATAAAATCCCTGAACTTTAGGGATTTCAATTTTCAATGAAACGCTAAAATTAAACGTGATTAATGGTTATCATAATTCAAATTTATTTTTAAAATTCAAAATGTTAAGATATTTTAGTTTAATTTACAACCTAATTAATAAAAAATCAGGATTATATATGTATCTTGTATATTTAACATATTTAATATGTTTTAGTTTAATTATTTTTTGTGCAAAAAACTCGAATCAGCATTAATGTTGATTTTATGATTTCAACTTTCCGATTGAAAAAGATTTAACATTAATTTTGATTATTTTTTTAGGTAAGGTCATTGGATATAATTTTAGTAAGGTCATCAACCATAATTGGAGCTTTATTTAAGTCAATCAAAAAATTTACTCAAATCAATTAACAATAATTATAATAAAATCAAATCAATATTTATCTTTTCTTTTTGACACCAAATGAAAAGAAACCATTAATGTTGATTTTTTTATAAAAAAAAATGTTCCTTTTTTTTTGTTTGACCGAATTCAAAAGTGAAAGTTTAGCCTCCAATTAATTGATAGAATTTAATTACGATTTGATGAAACTTTACTTACTGAAAATTCAAAGGACTGTTAGTGTAATTGTTGTAAATATTTATTGTGTCAACCTATAAAAAAATGACACATAGGATTTTGTCTTATGTGTCAACGGGAGGAGAAGTTTGATTTCCTCTCTCTGGTTTCTCTCTTAGTATAATACTATAGATAATTTTAATAACAATAACGATAAAATTTTTAAAAAATAAAAATAAAAAAGACCAAGTGGGAAAAGGAAGGGGAATCGGGTGACGTCTTGCTGCTTACATATGGCTGTTGTTAGCTAATTCAAGTTCTGGATGAGCATTTGGTTTTGATTCTATAATTAAAAAATTGTGCTCTAGGAAAATTATTCAATCGTTGATGTGATAATTTGGGCATAATCTACGTAATGGTACAAAGCTGTCCGAATTCAGGCATTGGAATCCTCCATGGATACACGTCACTTGTAATATAATATATCGGTCGACTTCGTGTTAACGAATTCCATGCTACATTTTTCAAAGGACGTGAGGAGCTGTCAAATTAATGTTAGGAACCATTTGTGGGTTAATTTATAGCTTGTTTACTGATTATAATTTTTGCATCTTGAAGTAAACTATGTATTGCGGATGATGAGAATAGCAACAAAATAATTACTCCCTCCGTCCCATAATTATTGTCTAGTTTTACTAAAATGAAAGATTTTATTTTTTGTCAAACTTAACTATATTTTACCTTAAAGAACCGGATATACCCCTACATAAGTAATTGTTTAACCACTAAGATTTTATGGATAATGGTTTTTACTAAGGACAAATGTGTAACTTGATCCATAAAAAGTCAAATTGGACAATAATTTTAGGACAAAATTTTTTGGGCAAAGTGAACAATAATTATGGGACGGAGGGAATACAATATTCCATCCGTCCAAAAAAAGAGATTTGTATTTGTTAATGTAAAAAGAGAACAAAGAATATGATTTTTTTTTTCCGGGTGGAATGAATGGAGTATCCATTGGCTGAACCAAGTACATATATGATCATTTCATAATATTATGTCGTTAATGAAGCCTATATTGATTAACAACCTGTTAAAGTGAAGATATATCCAATGTGGTTTTGCATCCTTTGGCTTTACTCTCTCAAAATTTTGAAAACCCTATTGCATTTCTTCTTGTTTTGGACTAAAATAGAATACCAACCAAAACTTGGAGTGTATCGGAGGGTGGTGTGTTCTATGCTCGCGAATGGTTTCTGTAGTCCAGAATCCCTCCAAACGTAAGCTTCCGTCGAGTTTGTGTGATCTTCTATGACATTTGATTTGTTCATGACTTCATGTCTATTATTTATCTGAATTTCTCACTATCAAATATCCATAATGGAAATCAGTATTCCATCGTAGGCTCGTAGTAATCAAAATGAACCAACAATCATGAAGTACTTCAGGTTTCACAAAATTTTGTGATTATAGTTAGAATTTGATACTACTCATGATTTATTGATCTTTGAAAATGACAGATAAAAGATCGAACAGATTATTTAACTGGAAAAAAAAGAGATTATTCCTTTCGATCTGGTCTTCAATATTACATGAAGCAGTCATAAATTTTTTAGCCAAGGATCGATGTGCGTACAATCTAACGAAAGAATTAGTCTTACGGCAGGTTAGATGTTAGATGCTGATATTCAATCAATGTTATCACAAATGCAGAAATATATTGATCAGAGTAAACAATAAGAAAAAGACCAACAAATCTGCCACATTCATGTGAAATTTTCAATACAGTAGGACGTGCAGTACGTTACAACACCATATATAGTTACAATTCATGAAAGAGTGTCATCGTGATTCGTACAAATTATTACACGACATTTTTGTTTGGATAATCAAAATGAACCAACAATCATGTGCATAAACAAAATCAAAATTAGAAACAAGTCTAATAAATATACTCATCAAACTTTGTGGTTATCTTTCTTTTCCTGCAAATTTTTCGTTCTCAGGAAAACCCAAATCCTCCACCAAGTAAACTTCCAAAATCCAAATTCCCAAACCCACCACCATCACCAAGTAAACTTCCGAAATCCACCCCACCAAAACCACCAACACTGCCGCCACCATTGCCGAAAAGATCAAGACCCGGAATATTACCACCGATTCCTTGCCCAAATCCTCCTGATAATGATTGAATCAAGTTACTCATTCCTCCAAACCCACCTCCAGCACCACCGCCAGTTCTTCCACCAAATCCTCCATATCTTCCTCCTCCAGCGTTAAATGCTTGTAGCTGATGTAAGGCTTGTAACTGTTGTTGATTCATCCTGTGTTGAACAGCCACAAGTTCTTGTTCTAGCCTTGCTATATACGCCATAACTGCTGCGTGACTATCCGCCATCCCCTGATTTGGATGATTTACTACGGGAATCCCCGGTTGCACATGATGTGTTTGATAAAAGTTCTGAGAGAATTGTGGCGGTTGATGATGATGAACCTGGGGAGGAGGAGGAGGAGGAGGAGTTGATTTTGTTGTGTATGCAAATCCTGGCTGATGATGTTCAGCATACTGATTTGGAACATTTGGTTGCTGGACAGGCTGCTGAACTGGAACATTTCTACAGTGCAAATGAACATCGAAATCGCAGGCGTGGCATCGGTAGAGCCAGTGATCAGACCCTAAAGTATTGCAAACATCACAGTTAAAAGTTTTGTCAAGATGGGTTGGGGAGAAAATGAGGTTTAGCTGGTGAGGATGAGATTGGTTAGTGAAAGTCAACGGCATTGCAGCACAGAGTATGTGAAGATCAATCTGGCAGATTTTGCAGTGGTATTCAAACCCCTGTCCTGGTTTCCCACATGCATCACAGTAGACATCCAAGCCTTCTTGATCATAGGGTGGTCGTGAGTGGAGCGTCAAGACGTGGCCTTTGTCGAAAGGATGAGTGATTTGTTTCGGCATTTTTGCACAATCGGCATGGAGGAAGTAGTTGCAGATTCTGCAGCTGTAGATCATTCCTGAAACCTGCAAACAGCATCCTGAACAAGTAGCTGATGAGTTATAGATGTTTTGATTATTGGTGAGCTGAAGCGGGTGTGGATGGCTGAAATGGTTCAAGGTAGTTTCTGCTTGGGAATTCATGGTCTCTCTCATTCTCTCTCTTTAGGCTGGCTGTGTTTGAAGTCTCAAATAGTGGCTTAATTGGCTTGAAGAAAGCTACTACATTTTATGGTTTTTTTGGCTTAATCATTTGGTAGGCAAAGTGTAATGTCTTCTTGTCCACAACATGGTGTGTAGACTTTGGTGAGCGGACAAAGTCAGCTATAGTCGGGAGTGAGGGTGATGGTTTGTTTTCATCATTTTTTAAATTGTGCTAACGGAATTAATTATACTGTGAAATCAATCACAAATCAAAGCTGATAATTAAGTAGTTAAACTTTAGAAGATCCGCTTGATTGATTGCATTTTGTAAATTAGTAAACAAACATCGAGACGAATAATCCTTACAATTTGACAGACTAAAATGTTTAGCCTTACACATTTACAAACGAATGATTTTTGGTTGTTAATCAGGCACCATTTTCAAAAAAAGAAAAAAAAAAAGATTTTGGTCGTTAGTATTTTTAAAACTACGGTCGTCTGTTAATTTTTTTTTCTTTCCTTTTTATAATGATTTGCTGAAATTATACTAATTTCTTTCATTATTAATTTTAAATTGTAGACTGACAGAGGACATCAATTTCGTTTTTGTAAAGAATTTAGCAGAGATGTTTCTAAGAGTTTGATGGCCGAATTTGATTAATTATCAGTACTTCTTCCTATTTGAAAATTGATCACTACATCTGTCTTAGCCATAAATTAAAGACGTCTTCGTTAACCCATGATGTAATGGGATATCATATCTTCGAAATGTATTGATTTGCAATTAAGCTTTATGCCTCTTTTTCTGTAAAAAAAAAAAAAAAGACGTGTGCTAGTTTTAGTGTTAAACTCGTTATCACACTGTCAAAGGATTGACGTCCAGCCAATCATTTGTTAGAATCCCCTTAACCTTTTATTAGTTTATCATTGGAACAAATTAATACGACACTCGAGCAAACAATAGAGAATAGACCTACGGGTGTAACAGTAAAATATCATTGAATATTCAATCCGCATTCGAATACTAAACTCTTTTTTTTTTTTTTTTTGAGAAAATGATAAATTAAGTGTACTCAGGACTGGAATTTATATGTAATTCAAATGCAGGACATTAACAATGTTATTTCGTGTAAATGTGAAGGTCCATCTCAGTTAGTTTAAGGATGTAATGACTGAAAGGTATATCCGTATGGTTGTCATAATCCAAGTCAATGTCAATGAAACGCTGTTACGCGGTTTCGAGGGCGATATGTAGTGTAGGGATTATTACGAAATCTTGGTACTGAGAAAACATAAATCAATGTCAATAAAAACAAAAGCATGGTTTAATCTCTGGAAGACTGGAACCACTAAATGATTAACATTCACTTCATATTTGTCCGAGGATGGACTTCTCTAAGTCGTTGTTTATTGGCGTTTTCTGCAGAAAGACAATAATAGCGGATGTCGCAATTTCTGACTCAGAGACAAACATTGGTCGGCTGAAGGAAAATTTAAATTATACAAAATGCCAAAATAAATTAAAGAAGAAAAACGTAAAACATATTTTTTCCACACCCAGGCTATCGAAAAACAGTAATCAACAGTAAAACTTAGCCCCTTGATTTTACAGATGTTGTCGATGCAAAGAGCATGGAGATTAATTAATTAATTGAAGTAAACATGAAAACTTAATTCATTTGTCCTTGAGGAGAGGAATTCCTTTTTCAATTCATGAGGAGGGGACGTGAATTCTTGTTGGTGGTTAAGTTTCTATTACGACGTGGTGGTGAAAGGGGAAAAAGAAAAATGAAAAGAAGGAAAACGGATGAAAGCAATTTTAAAGAAAAAGTAATGTGGAATGTCAACTAAATATTCTCTTCAATCCTTATTATAAGAGATTTTGATTTGTTTTAAATTTCATTTAGTATATTTTTTTAATTAAAAATAAAATTTTACAAAACGTATCAAAATAGGTTTCATAATTATTTTCTTTAACTCTTCAATTCCTAGCTCGTAATTCACAGAAACAACATCATCAATAATATACACATGTAGACTATTGACAACGGCAGGTAGGCCTTCAGAAACAAATACGTGCGTGCAAATTACAACTCCACTAATTAATATTTATGTGTCCTCATTAAATTAAATCAGGCGTTTGCTCCATATGGTCTTTTTCTAGTACTAGATAGTAATCCCTCCATTTCAAAATGTAAGTTTTTCTAGTCTTTACACGTAGAAAATAATCATTGAATGAATAATTTGTGCGTTAAATATTTATTTTTCCCTTCATTAATTGTTTTAGAACTATAACCAAAACTAGATGAAAAGTAGTTAGCATCATTTATTGGGGACAAAATTGGAAAGTTCATTTTTAATTTGTTTTAAAATCCTAAAACGACATACATTTTGAAATATTTCTTCAAACCCAAAACGACCTACATTTTGAAATGGAGGGAGGATTTAACACTCCTCGCCTAACCAACGATTTGATGGATCAAGTTGTATGTCAGCTGTCAGTCATCTCTTTCTCTAGTAAAATCAAATTTGTCAACTAACATACTAAATAATTTTAGAAAAATGGGGGAAAAAAAAGAAAAAAAGAGAGCAACAATTCTATATAAACTTCAAAATTTTAGTGTTAATAGTTGTGGCGAGTGACTATCGCAGTGTAACTTAAGGTAAGAGACACAAACATCATTTCCATTTTCCAAATATGTAAGAAAAGAAGAATATATTCAACTCAAATGAAGCAAGAAAAAAGGAAAGGCGAATTGAGCACTCTTTAAAATTCTTAAACATAGGTAAAACACCACCCAAGAACTCCAGAATAATAAAACAACCGGTACGATATCATGATTTAATGAAACCAGCTCAATCTGGCAGGACTCGCAGGTACATGACTATGCTTTAATAGATGTAAATTTCACATTTGTATATCAAATTCGTAGGGGACACTATATTGAGTGTACAAAAAATGAACATGTATTTATACACTCCCTTTTTCAGTATCTTGTTTTATATGTATCTGTATACTGTGCCAGGAGGATCCAAAAGATCAAGGGCATTCTGTCTCCCTCTAGCTTCTAGACGAGCTCGAGCATAAGCGGCATCAACTGCCTCCGCTGCTCGGTTAGCTTCCTGAATATCAAAAATCGAAGGAAAGTTGGCATTATTAGGATTAAAGTTTTGAGCTTGTTGGGCCGGAATTGATGACGGTGGAGGATTGAAACCTGGCCTTCCTCCAAGATTAAAATTCGAAAAATCGGGGTAAGGAGAAACAAAGGGGGGATTTTGAGGCATGGAATTGCTTGGATTGGGTTTTAAAGCACAGTGGATGTGAAGGTCGAACTCGCATTCGGAACAGCAATAAGAGAAGCCATTTCCGACAAGATTGCAAATGTCGCAATTGATGAAGGAATTGGTGGGATAAGTTGGACATGAAGATAACATCAAAGGATGAGAAGGGTGGGAAGGATGTCTTAAAGACCGGCACGCCTTAAAGCATTGTTCATGAAGGAAATAGTTGCATTCCAAACAAGCATAGTGGCCGTTGTCGGGAGCCACTTCCTTTGGTTCTTGGTTTTATAGATAGATAGAGTTTTTGGGCTTGGCCTTGTTATTGTATTTGTACCAAATATTTCATCCGTGTCTAAGAATTTAAAATTGTTCTCGAATTTTATTTTTTTTTCTTTGGTTTTGATTCTTAATTTGTCGTTTATTGCTTTCCAAATGATTAATATAGTCCCTTACCTTTAAAATGTATCGCATCAGTAGTCATCCACTATAATCTAGAAATAATTTCTTCGTCTACTTATCGAAATTAATTAAAGAATAATCATTCCTACCATTTGCGAGAGAATTAGTCACTATTGTCGATGATAAATACTCTACAATACGCAAAAACAAAAATAATAATAATAATCATTCGTTTCTTAGAAATTTATCCATTTAAGTGTTAAAGAATAATTAAGATTTAAGATTAGAAGATACTAGGGCTGTCAAATCGGGCGGGTTCGATCGGTTCGGGTGATATCGGTTCGGGTTAATTGATTTTTTACTCTTGCAAGACCCGCCCGAAACCGAACCGAGAATTATATTTTACCGAACCAAACCGAACCGAATAAGCAATCGGATTTTTGGTTCGGTGCTCGATTAAACCGAAAAAGTTTCAAAGAATTTCTCTCTCTGAAGATTGAAGAAGAAGAACGACGAAGACAAAGCCTACTTCATAAATTCAACAATTCACCTTCACTACAGAGACTACTTCAGCCAAAAAAAAAAAAAAAAAAACAGAAATGGGGGCCTGAACTTTACACACCATCCATATCAATGGAGCCTAACTTCTGATTCCATCATCCTCCATCACTCATAAATCCTTTATAGACTTTTGGAAGCAGGATAAAGAAAGAAACCGCTCAAGGCAAAAAGCTCGCTTAAAATAGCCGAAATACACATCAAGAAAATATAGATCTAAATATTTACTTGTTTATTAAGAAGACACAAAATCATTAGAATAGAATTGAGAGATGGAGAAGAAGGGGAAGAAAACAAGAGGCGCAGGGATGGAGGAGAAAAGGAAGAAAAAAAGGGCATGGTTGGCTACCTGCGGCGGAGAAAGAAAGGAAGGATGCGGCGGAAAGAGAAAGGAAGGGGGAGGCTGCCGCAAAGAAAGAGAAGAAAGGGTCAAATGGGTATGAAAGATTAAAAACTATAAAGAAACCCTAAGAATTTAATATATACTAATTTATTATAATATAAAATATTGAATTATAATTTTTATTCGGGTTTTCGGGCGGGACCCAAGAAATATTTACGCAAACTGCACCCGCACCGTATAACGAATTGACTACTCGGGTGAACCCGAAATTAGAACTGAACACTGAATCACCCGAACCGAATAGGCAAAAACGGATTCGGTTCGGGTGGTTTTTCGGGTTAAGTGACACCCCCTAGAGGATACCTTTTCATAATTAAAATTGAACACCTTTACACTCAATTTTATATACCTCGATAGGCCATTTCGTCATTAATTTCTAATTCGGTTAGCTTAATTTAAGAAGAAACATAAACAAACAAGCTCCGATTTCAGCTGAGCTAAGCAGCTTTAGCTTAAGATCGGGCTAGGGTTTGATGAGGAGAAATCAGATATTTAAACTTGGGATAGGATTTAAGGCGTTAAATTCGCAATATCATGCTGGTTACACAAATTTTACAGTATATGTTTGGATTACGCCCCTGCATGTATTCGACATACATAATCAATATATAAATTTGTTGGGTCAATATTTTCTGTCAATTGAACCCAGCATGATTTAATGTCAAAATCCATGTTTGATTTGGTTTGGTTTGGCCGAATAAAATGAAAACCAATTGGATTTGGTTTTTTGGTTTGATTGCTTATAAAAGCAATGTGGTCGTGACTTTTTGGCCGTGAATTTGACAAGCAAATTTGGGGCAGCCACACATTATTTTTGTGCGAGAGAAAAGAGAAGAGAAAAGCTAGTTCTAGGATTTTTTGGTGTTGCGAGAAGAAAGTGTTTCACTTTAAGGTTTTGATCGGGTGACGAAACAGAGTCAGGTATTGGTGCAAATTTGCATGTGTGTTTCTCTCAACAAGATCTACAAATCCTCTGGTTTAGTTTTCAGTTTAACTCTCTTTTGGTGAGATCCTCCCAATCCTACTTTGTGGTTTAGGTGTGTATGGAAGAGTATTGTTGTAATCTACCTTTGGGTGAAGTCCTGTGTATCCACCGGTTTGTGAAAATTATTTTTCATTATTGTGATAGTGGAGATTTGACTGTTGTTACAGTCCCGTAGTTTTTCTTGATTTGGGTTCCCATGTAAATTCGTGTGTCTACTTTACTTTATCAGTTCTTGAATTATTTTGCTTGTTTGGTTGTCCTATTTATTGGTATTAGGAAAGGAGATTTTCTTGGGATTCGCTCCTTAGTGTGTTGTGTTTATGCCCTTTCTGCCACAACAGTGACATCAGATTCAGTAGTTGAGGTGTTACACCAATAAAATGGAAGAGTCATCAGGTACTGGTACGATGACTAAATTGACTTCATCCAATTATCATATGTGGAAGCCTAGAATGGAAGATTTGTTGTATTGCAAAGATTTGTTTGATCCTGTTCTAGGGGATGAAGGTAGGCCAAGTGATATGACTGATAAAAAAGTGGGCTGATATGTACAGGAAAACTGTTGGTAATATTCGACAGTCGATTGATCAAAGTGTGTTTCATCACTTTTCGGGAGAAACAAAAGATGATGAACTTTTGGAGAAAATCTAGAATATGTACTGGAAGAAGTCCGGCATCAATAAGTCATCTGTGCTGAAACAGATTACCAGGTTGAGGTACAACGATGGTGCTAGCATGAATGAGCACTTGAGTTGGTTTCAGGGTTTGTTGAACCATGCAGTGAATGTAGGTTTAAAGTTGGATGATGAGTTGTAGACTTTGTTATTGTTTAGTTCCCTTCCAGACAGTTGGGACACTTTGGTAGTGTCAATCAATAATTCAACCCAGGATGGTGTCTTGACCTTGGATCGGGTCAAAGAGGCTTTGATGAATGAAGAAGTCAGAAGAAAAGAGCAGAGTATTGAGTCTGAGTCGCAGGCTCTGGTGACCGAAAAGTCAGGTAGAAGAGGGAGAAGTAAAAGTAGAGGGCCACGTGATCGGAATGACAAGTCTAGGGGACAGTTTAAATCCAAGAAAGATGGCATGTGCTACCATTGTCAAGGGAATGGGCACTTTAAGAGGGGGTGTAGGATTCTCAAGAGAGAACTAGCAACGAGAAAAGGTAAAGGCAAGAAGGATGAATCAAGTGATGATGACACTAATACAGTAGTAACTACCAGTGATGTATTTGTGTACTGTGATGATGATACAATTAATGTTGCGAGTCACGACAGTGATTGGTTCGGTAATTCAGGTGCATCTTATCATGTGACACCTCATAGACACTTCTTTACCTCTTATACACCTGGAGATTTGGTCATGTAAGAATGGGCAATCAAGCCTCGTGCGATGTTGTCGGCATGGGAGAGGTATCATTGGTAACGAATACATGCTGTACTCTTATCTTGAAGAATGTCAGACATGTTCCGGATATGCATCTGAACCTTATTTCCATTGGAAAACTTGATGATGAGGGTATCATAGCACTGAAAATGGTGGCCGTTGGACAATTACCAGAGGGAATCTTGTTATTGCTAGAGGAAAGAAGTTAAACTCTTTGTATTTGTTGAATGCAAAGTTGAAGAATGGAGAGGTGAATGAGACTCACAATGCCTCCATTGATCTCGGCACAGAAGGCTTGGACACATAAGTGTCAAGGGGCTGCAGATTCTTGGTAAGAACCAATTTCTCCCTGAAGTGAAAGGTACTACTCTAGAACCTTGTGTTGACTGTATCTATGGTAAACAACATAGGGTTTCCTTTCAAAATTCTCCTCCATCTAGAAAGTCCAGTCCTCTAGAGTTAGTTCATACAGATGTATGTTATATGAAAGATAGGTCGTTGGGTGGAGTATTGTACTTTGTTACTTTCATTGATAACTATGCTCGAAAGTTTTAGTGTTTTTCTTTAAAATCTAAATATCAGGTATTAGATCTGTTCAAAGACCTTCACCTTAGAGTTGAACGAGAGACTGGCAAGAAGTTGAAGTGTGTTCGAGCAGATAATGGTGGTGAGTACAGGGGTCCATTTGAGAAGTATTGCCAAGACCATGGCATTAAACTTCAGAAGAGTGTTCCGAAGACTCTGCAACAAAATGGCGTGGTAGAAAGAATGAATAGAACTATTACCGAAAAGGTTAGGTGTATGCTCTTGAATGCAAAGCTGCCTAAATCTTTTTGGGGTGAAGCCATACAGACAGCAGTTGATTTGATCAACTTATCTCCCTCAGTTCCGTTGGATAGTGATCTACCACAACGAGTTTGGACAGGGAAATATGTCTCATTTGGACATTTACGAGTTTTTGGTTGTCGTGCCTTTGTTCATATTCCCAAAGACGAAAGGTTGAAGTTTGATGGAAAATCCAAGCAGTGTATGTTGTTGGGCTATGGCAATGATGATTTTGGGTCCAGACTTTGGGATCCTGTAGAGAAGAAAGTTTTCAGAAGCAGAGATGTTATCTTCTTTGAAGACCAGACCATTGATGATATGGGAAAGGGCGAGATGCCAGAATCTTCACCTGAGATTCCTGTTGATCTAGATCTAGTTCCTTCACAATCAGATGATTCTCCTGAAGGGGGAGCTGAGGCAGAGCAGAATGGTGAGTTTGATGATGATCCTACTTCTGAAACAGAAACATCACCGGTTTCATCACCTCCTGTCCAGCCAAGGAGGTCCACTAGAGACAAGAAACCTTCCACCAGGTACAGTGCTCATGAGTATTTGTTTCTTACTGATGGGGGAGAACCAGAGTCGTATGAAGAGGTTCTTAGTCATGAGCAGAAAGATCAGTGGTTAGCAGCCATGCAAGATGAGATCAAATCCTTGCATGAGAATAACACGTATGACCTAGTGAAGCTGCCTAAGGGCAAGAGAGCACTCAAGAATAAATGGGTGTTCAGACTAAAAATAAGTGAGAAAAGCTCACAACCGAGGTACAAAGCTAGATTGGTTGTGAAGGGATTCAATCAGAGAAAGGGCGTAGACTTTGATGAGATATTCTCTCCTGTTGTAAAGATGTCTTTGATCCGAGTAGTGGGATAGGAGCCAGCTTGAATCTTAAGATTGAACAGCTATATGTGAAGACAGCCTTCCTGCA